ATAAAATATATAAAAATAAACTTTACCATACAAAGACGCGATTTTCGTTTTTGCATGAAACGATTGAATCTAGCAAAAATAGTGTCCTTCGTTCATTTCATTCAAAATCGCGTCTAATGAGCATAATTTTATTAATATTGGAGATGAGATAGCTAAACTAAATGACTATCCGATGTCGTATTGACTGGTCAAAGGTACAATATCAGTTACTGGTTGAAGGTACAACTCTTGTCCACTTTCTATTTGTTATTACTTTTATAAATTATAGGTTAAGATTGACAGTATTAAGTTTTAAATAATTTTTTCTGAATATCTATTTAACATTTTAGGCAATTCCAACATAAGATAGAATACATATACATTTTATGAGATAAAAAACCTCTTGATATTATTTCATTCGAACGCTTGAAAACAATAAATGATTTTTCACGGGAGTATAATTCTATTCATTGTTATAATTATAAGTTATAAAACACCTCTGGTACTCGTACTACAAACTACATATTTTTACTTTTAAAAAAATCCAATAGATTTTTTATAAATTCAAATGGTTAAAGATACAACCGGTCAAAGGAACACCATGTTCTACATATTGCGCTGTACATTACACGTCAGATGCGATCATTGCTCTCCCATTTTCCACTGCAAAGCTCTCATGTCGCAGTGTTCTCGATTCTTTCGTTTCGCGAATAATTTGTTATTGTATAACGAGCTTTATCATGATTTCGAAGTCTGATTGTGCTGTTGTTGGCGAATAAATGACGCGAATTAAGGCGAGTGATGGCGTTGCATTCTAAGTTGCCTATAGTTTAGCGCACTTATACCTGTTACAATGATTCTATAACCGGCGCGAAACTACCGGGAATCATACTACTCTCAATCGTCATTGACGTCATTATTCTGTATACACAGGATGCCCCTCGACTCACCGTTATAGTTCCTCTAAATCGAACTAGGGAAACTATATTATTCAAAAGCTACCCTATACCTTTCCATTATTCAGGATGCGCGAGACCCACGCTATAATCAAATCCTTTAATTCTAACAATCGACTCTTCGTTAAACGATCGAATCACTGTTTCCTGCTTTTTAATGCTTGATATCAAACGTTTTATTGTGTTTGCATTTTAAATAAAAAAAAATAAATGAGATGTTTAAAAGTCGAAATGAAAGATAGAATTTGAGTTTTCGCAGAGACGAAATTAATTTTAACTTTGTCAAAAGAAAAATTGTGTGGCGATTTTTGGACACCCTGTATGTGGATATAAACGTCGGGTAAATGATACGAGTGTTTTCGTCGGTTTTCGTACCTCAAAATGTTCGGCAGGTTGATCCCACCGGAAATAACTTATTTACGCGAGGCACAAATTACTCAAGAAGAAAAAAGGAGAGAAGCCCACAGAATACATGGAATACTCTGTGAGATAAATCTTGTTTGCTAGTAACGAACAGTTTCATTTATTGTAAAATTAAATTTTAATGCAATACTGTTGTACAATTTATTTTTTATTCCATTTTCTTTTGTAATTGACTCAATTTTATTTTATTTATAATACATTCTTGAAAATTTTAAATTACATTTTTCCTTGACGTTTTAAATACAAATATCGTTATTACAGCGAAGTAAAAATTTTTACGGAATAATAACTCGGTAAAACGTCAGCTAAGCAAATTTATGTTAGCTTTATATTAATATTTGCGACATTTTTCATATATAATTTCGTTTTTGCAGTCTCAAGATAAAATGTTTCTTTCTGACATACATTGTATGTTAATGCGCGATTTTTCTTCTTGGATTTTCCTAGTAGTTGAAAATGGTGTGGGAAATTCTGTAGCTGGCGGGAAATTCTGCAGGAAATTTTCACACACGTGAGGGCTGATAAGGGAGCCGCTATATTGCACAATTTATTAGCCATTATCGGACATATTGCGTGTGGGCCATGTTGCAAGCTTCTGCGTCGCGCGAGCTTTTGATAGGATGGTG